GTTAGGACCTTTGTGGCTCTTTGAGTGCTTAAGGCTGCCGACCCCTGAGGTAAACCAAAGATGCCTGAGCAGGCCAAGATAACGAACTCCTTAACAATCCTACATAAGCATGACATATACTGGTTACTTGTTCTCATGGAACATCCTTGACTGACCAGTTAAGACATAACGTCCTCGGCCAGCAGTTCCCACTTACTTAAATTCCTATAGCAGTCTTGACGTATCCGTCAACTCTTGCCATTCTGGTTCAAAACCAGCAAGCCTTCGACAATACACACACCCTTTCTCTAGCCTACATCCACATGTTTCTAAAAAGTCTGCATGTTCCTACTTACTTTCTCCTGAAACTGGGGCATAACTCCATCTTTGCGTAACTTTGGACCGAGATGGATGCCGCGGGGGGCAAGAACGCAATTGGACCAACGCCCGACAGCAATTTTAGTGCTAGAAACATCTAGAACAGGAGGTCCAGAAAAGGACAAATTAAAGAGATAACCGTTTCTAAGCATGAGCACTGGGTGAGGGGAAGAGAGGACCTCCTCACCAGGAGGAAGAGTCTTCTACCATCAACGGTTGGAAGAAGACAAAGGGACGGGACCATCAAACCAAGTTATGGGTCAAAAAGTCAAAATTAGTACCAGATCAAGAGGGAGAAACCTAATGGCTTCTCTCTGCGTTTCAACGCTCCAGGCACTTGTTAAGGCATCGAAGATGAATGAAGTCCCTTCTCCAGAACATCCAATACAACCATCAGGAGAACTAGTGTGTGGTTGTGTGTGTGGGAAACGCTCCAGTCCAAGACTAGGAAAATCACCCTGGACCCAAAAGTTGTAGAATGTACGTTCTGGGGTTCCTGCCTTGCCATTCCTTCCCTCCCCCTCCTCCAAAGGCAGAAGTTCTCCAGAAGAATCAAATGCACCTCAAGTTGGAGGTGTTCCTATGCCCGCCTTGGATCGACTTGCCTTGGTCCTTCCCACCCCACAGGGTCCCCAGTTCTGGTCTCCCCCTTCCGTGTTTATCTGGCCACGAGGAATTCTCTTCCAAGGGGGGAGGCCGATCTAGAACTGCGTTTGCACCCCTTCGCTTTCATCTGTGACCTTGTGGCTGTTCTCCAGGGGGATTTCTGCTTCTGCCTTGGCGGCTTGGACAGAGAGCTCTTCCTCGCCTGTCTCTTTATTGCTGGGCTCCGGGCATTCTGCTTGGACTCCTCCATCTGGAGCTGGGGTTGGCGTGGGGGCAGCTGGAGAAGGTTCTGGGGCTTCCTGTTTCTCTCGATAGAGCTCGGTGGAGGATTCTGCAGGAGAGCCATCTTCTGTTTGAGCGGTCTCCTCCTCTTCCTCCTTCCTGGGCTCCGGGATTCCTCTGCTCTCTTGAGTAATAGTACCATTGCTTAATTGTTCCTCAGCCTTATCTCCATCCACAGCTGGGATTTCCAGCTGTTTCACCAGCAACATACGGACCTCCTTCACACCGTCCGAGGAATCCTCTGTCTGAGGACTAGGACAACGGTCGGACTTCTCTGCTTCCGAACCATCTGGAGATCTTTCCAAAGAACCCACTTCATCATAAGGCAGAGCACTTTCATCCATGTGTATCACGGAGACGACCTGCTTGGCCCGATGGTGCTTCTCGTCCAGGGGGTCTGTGTCTGATTCGCCGGCGTACTCCTCGCCCCAGTTGATGGGCGTCTCCTCGCCAAGCAGGTGGAGGTTGGGGTCGCTGTTGTGCATCACAATGCTGTCGCGGTACAGGTTGTGCTTCCGCTGGACGGCAGCCTCTTTCACGGCTGAAATGAGTCGGTAAAGAGAAAAAAAAAGGGAGGGGAAGAGCACGTTGACAGGCAATTCTCCCAAGTCAAGCAGGAGAACTGGTTCTCCATTTAAAAATAACAACAACGACAGCGAATAATGTAAGATCAGCTCTGTAAGAACGGGCTATTGTTTAAATCTTGGAATGTTTCAATCAATGCAATTGATAGTGGGACCAATGCAGATGGAAACTTCTGTATCCTAAGCTAAATAATACTTAAGGCAATATTTTCCAAGTCAATGCTCCCAAGAACTATGAGATTGTTCTTTTACACCCAACAAACCATGTTGGTTAGGGGAATTTCATCCATCCATTCATCCATACATACATCATCCATCCATCTACCACCCATCCCCCCTCATCCGCCCATTTATTCATCTATATACCACCCACCCATCCATCTATCCATCTATCCATTAACCCACCATCCACCTATCCATTCACCCATAATCCATCCATCCATCCATTCACACATCCATCCATCCATCCACCCGCCCACTCACTCACCCACCATCAATCAATCCACCCACCCACCCCATTCACCCATCCATCCATTCATCCACCCATCCTTTCATCAATCTACTCACCTATCCTTTCATCCATCCATTCACCCCCCAACCCATCCATCTGGTTCCATCCATCCATCATCAATCCATCTACCACCCATCATCCGTCCATTTATTCATATATCTACCACCCATCTATCCATCTATCCATTAACCCACCCATCCACCTATCCATTCACCCACCATCCACCCATTCACCCATCCATCCATCCACCCACCCACTTACTCACCCACCATCAATCAATCCACCCACCCACCCACCCCATTCACCCATCCATCCATTCATCCACCCATCCTTTCATCAATCTACTCACCTATCCTTTCATCCATCCATTCACCCCCCAACCCATCCATCTGGTTCCATCCATCCATCATCAATCCATCTACCACCCATCATCCGTCCATTTATTCATATATCTACCACCCATCTATCCATCTATCCATTAACCCACCCATCCACCTATCCATTCACCCACCATCCACCCATTCACCCATCCATCCATCCACCCACCCACTTACTCACCCACCATCAATCAATCAATCCACCCCCCCCCCCCCCCCCCCC